TATCTTTATACTGAGGTATGTTACAAATGGTACAAGTCCAACTTTGGTTAATTAAAAACACTGCAAAGCAATATTAGTTATAAAATCATAAATAACGCTTACCAGCGGCTAGACATTATTGTCGTTGGAATAACTATAGTATCTTATTTAAGTAAATTAACTAGTTATTTTTAATGAGTGCAATTGTATTTATAAAACTTAATTGTTAAATAAGATAATTCATTTGAATGGCAACTAATTAGTGTAACATAGTAGGAGAAAAAATTATTTAAAAAAAATGGTCTTTATAATTATATTTATGTTTTTTTTTTAACAAAGAAAGAAACGTTTTCCCTTAAAAACTTACCCTTTTTTTTAATTTTGTCAAATACTTTTGGATTGATTAGATTTTGGATAATTGAAATGTCATGGTTAATTATTTCCGGGCATGGATGATTAGCATCTATGTGCAGTTCATTCTCAGTTAACAAATGACTTGCATGCTATTTTTTGTACCCAAAAAATTTCAATATTTTTCTTTGATCTAAATTTTTATGGTCAAAGTAAAACAATAAAAAATAAATAGTAAACAATCAAAAAAACAATAAAATAAACAATCAATAAATAATTATTAAAACAAGAAAGGTTTTAAATAGTCTTTAGTGTAAAAATATATGTTCCTAATCAATTATAACTTACATTTGTTTTTATTTTTACAGGTAAGGGAACAACAAGAATTAGACCAAATAATTTTTACCTGGCAGTAAAATGTTTGTTTTTATAACACTATTAGATGTTGTGTCAAGTTTTCCTTCATTAAAGTTACTTGATGACTCGAATGGAGATTCTTAAATAAATTTATAAAGAAATATAAAAGCCAAAATATAAATAGATATCATATATATACAAATACATAGATAAAGAAAGATATAAGACCAAAACAAAAAGTTTATAAAAACCTGTTTTTTTTTTGTCCAGTTAGAAAAATCGAGTAAACTATTTATTTCATCAGCCGAAGGTTTTGCAAGTCTAATGTTTGATGTTTTCCGCTTTTTTTTGTTGAATAAAATGGTGACTGCTTAGTTATTCTTTTGTTTGATGGAGCATCATTTTTAAAATGTAATTCATTTTGCTTATTTGTTGTTAGGCTTAAAAAAGTATTTTTAGCTAACAATATATTTTTCTGTAAACTCTGCAAACCATCCTCATCGGATATTGTACTTAAAGTAACTAAATTAACGAGATCTTTTAAATTTTTAATAATGTTGTTTTTTAAAGTATTAATATCTCCAGGTTCACAAGCTTTTATAATTTTAAATTCCAATTCAACTGAATTTGTTGGCAAATCGAGAGGCTGAGTTGTTGCAGACACATTAGGATTGCTAAGACGATGTACTAAATGAATATGTTTACATGGGATATTTTTGGTTAGAAAATCCATACAATCGCAACTATATAAAGGAGTACATACTTTACATTCGGGACATATTGTAAGACACTCATTTATTTCACACAATTCATGGTGTTTTAAAACTCTGTATTGGTAACCATTTGATTCTGACTGTACTAACCTTACTCCTTTATCATCCAAGGTAAACTTTTCACACAGTTGTAGACTTTCAATGTGCCTAGAATGCACCATTTTTAGTTTGTAGCTTATCTTCCCTCTTGTTAATTTTAATATTCTTTCATATACTTTGTCTTTATTAAACTTTAACAAAGCAAACAAGCAATTGTCAATTCATTTATTATGCTTACCTTGTAAGTAACTGTACTTAAAAACCTTATGGAAAGATTCCATATACATATTTGTATTTATGCCATGACCCATACGATAACAAAATGCCCAAATTTGTTTATAATTTACCCAATATTTTTCGAAGTATTCAGCAAATAATTTTGTTGAATCTGAAGATTGCAAGTAATCCATTAATGATTGTAAATAATCATCAAATAGTTTCCGATCACTTAGTTGTAAAACAAATCTAATACGTTTGTATATATCTGCTTCCATTTCAAGATTATGTATTTTTTTATGCAACTCTTCTCTCCAAGCTTTATCAACATGCCAAGTACACCAGAATTTTAGAGGTGCACATAAATAAACTTCACAAAATGCTTCATAATATTGGGATACCAAATCAGTCATTATCCAAATTGGGAAAAAACTTCCAGAATGTTCTTTTAATTTGAGGAAAAATATTTTAACAAATCTGAATCGCTATTTGATATGCACCATCCCACAGGTTGCCCTTCGCCTAATTCATCAACAACTAATATTGATGTGAGAAGGAAATCATATGCGTTTGTGCCATGTGTAGAATCAATACAAACACCATTTTTTCCAAACTGTGTAGCATTTTCTTTTGATGTTCAGTTTGCAGTATAATGATAAAATCTGAATCCTTAAATATATTAGATGTATCTGACTCTCCCTGTAGTTTATGATATAGAACAGGATTATTTGATTTCATTTTCCATTCTTTTAGCCAAATTGCAACACTGTTTTGATCATTGGCATGAAGTTGAATAGAATTAATATTGAATGCTTTTTCTAGGTTTGTAATATCTTTCTGCTGAGTTAAATGTAATCTGGATTGAACACAACTTATTTCATCTCTAATATCATCTAGGATTCTATTTTTAGTTATACCCATTTTTAGTTTGCAAGCAATTTCATGTCTTTGAACACTTGATAGAGAAATGTGTTGAATTTCATTTTTATGTCCATAGCGTGAATAACAAGCATGAACTACAACTTGTCCTTCTGAGCATTGGGAAACTTTTAGTGTTGATGTGCAATTTTTTGCAATTTTTCGAGTACCTGTTAATTTGATGATTGTGATAAAAAAGAATAAATAATTATTTGTAATAAATATAATACATACAATATATAAGGAGCATATAAATTAAATAATGATAATTGGGTTATGATGACATGATTAGACTCTTATATCAACATTATGTCTTTCAATATTAGTTAAGTAATGTATATATCAAAAAGTGTCATCATGTTGTCGTAAAGAACTTTTGTCCAGAAAATTTACAGTAATAGTTTTAATGACTTAAAACTAGTTGCAAATATAGTTAATTATTTGAATCTTTTTAAATACACTATATACTCATTACATACCACTACTTTTGACTATTCTTTTATTTGCCATGCATCTACAAAGTCCACTTCTTCTGCATTGATAGTATGATACTTTCCAACCATCTTTATCGAACTTTTCACCAGATGATAAAACATATTGTGCTGCATTATTACTTTCAATATCTGATTTCCACATGTCAAATTCTAGAATAATTACAAATCAATAATTCAAACTAATTCAAAAAGAGAGACAATTAAATTAAACATAATTATTATTTATTTACATAATGAATAAAATAATAATTCATGTGTAACTAACATCAACTTAAACAATAACTGGTGTCAAACTTGAATTAAAGGAATGGTTAAAACACCAACGAACTTAAATATTTTCCAAAATCTACTCATTTAAGCAATTTTATTTGAATATTGATTATTTTATATATCAAAATTATTTCAAGTAATTTTAAAATATGAAATAACAACAAAATCAAGAAAATAGAAAAAACAAATGTAAACAAAAAATTTGATAATTGGTGTGTTTTCTAAACTATAATTAAGACATTTAAAAAATAAATAAAATAAAGCATTACCTTTAACATTAGCAAATGATAATTTTTCTTTCTGAAAAGTATAAAGGTGAACTGCAGATAAATGTTTTCTTAAACCATTAATTTGTCTGCACTGAAATCCACACTAGAGACACAAAGAATTTCCTGATTGAAGATATGCTTGAGCTTCATCAATTGACTTGTGCTTATTTTTTATATGTCGCTGCAAGTTTTTTTTGGGGTAAAGGAGACATCACAAAATGCACATTTTAGAGATGAAAAATTGGTATGTTTTATGTCAATAGTTTTGTTTTCATTTAATTTGGATTCCATTACATTTGTGTTTATCACATCTTCATCTTCATCAGAATCACATAATTCAAAACTGCTAGATACTTACAATAGTAAGTATCTAGCAGTTAATATTGCTACGTACAATAGTTGTAGGAAAAATAAAATCTAGATTAATTTCTTTGCTAATAAGCCATGACATTAAAACTAATCTTAAAAATTTAGAGTATTTAGTAGGCTCTTTTAGAAAAATGTAACTATTGTTCTCTATTTCAGCTTTACATAAAATATGGTTAAAATAATCATACTGTAAACAAGAGATTGCACATATTATTATGGTAATTACTCCACAGATATTTCCACAAGTTTGCATTGGATAGTTTTCTCTGCATAAAGAACTGCATTTTTTATTTCCATTCCTATGCGTTCTTGGGTCATGACAGTAAATGATGTCAAAGCTTTTATTTATAAGATACAGTTTTCTGATCAATAATTTGACTTTAAATAAAAAATCATCTGGAACTGACCAACCCATAGAATCACAATAGTAAAAATTACCCTTAGTACTATTATAAACTGCGAATATCCAGTGGCTACCTGGATTTAAATCTGTGCCAGAAAATGTCTTCTCATTGTTTCCTCCAACATTTAAAATAAAAATCAATTTTTCTGGGATTGCAGTTATTCTTGAAACATAATGCTCTATATTTCCTATAAAGTTAAAGTAAATTACCTTTGAATGGCTTTGGATAGAATTTAAAATACTGGAAAATTGCAGCATATGATCTGATGAGAGCCATTTAGTACAGCATAACTCAGATAAAGTGTTGGGGTTCATTCCATATTCTGAAATATCTCTACTAGCTGGCATTCTAAAAAGCACATCTTTGAACTTTTCAATTAAATTTTGAGGAGGAAAAATACCAATTGATTTTGGTACTAACTTTGAAGAGTTAAACCATGTTAGCTCTTGATCAACTGCTAATTTAATTTCTTGAACCCTATGAAATGCTATTAGATGCTGAACACTTTCCTAGATAAACTTTCCAAGATTACATTCTATATAATGGATTCCATTGGCAATATTGTTGCGCAGAGATAGTTCAGTAGACCATTTTATTAATTGATGTTTAGGTGGCAAACATTTAAGGGAAAAACATCTTCAATTTTGTCAACAGAAAACTGGGTTGTTTTGATAGAATAATCATGAACAATTTTTATAAATTGTTTTTGAGACTCGTATGCATTTTCTCGATGATAATTGTTGATCGTAAGCTGAATAAGCTTTATTTTGTTTGATGATAAGCTTCCAGATGCCTTAAACAAAAAAATCGTTAGTTAGAAGTAAAAAAAGATAAAAAAATAAAGGATTAAAAAAAAAACCATTAAATAAATCATTAAATACAGCAGCACTTACTTACCATCATTATCGTGTGTTAGAAATTAGAATCTAATAGCGTGCTTCATCGCATATATATTACATATATATATATGTATATCCATACAAGGCATAAACTGAAATAAATCCGGCAAACGAGAAAATTGTTTTACGGGTTTCTCGTATTACGGGTTGCTTACTGTTTAAATAAATTTATATTTTATTAGAGAAAGTAAATAAATATACTGCTAGTAATGATACAATACAAATTACGATACGATACGTAATAAGTACTTATGTAATATCAAATTACTGAGCTGAAAACTAGTAACTAGTAGATGACAAAAAAGTACAGAACAGTGAGTACTGAAAATAAATAATATTGCCTCATGACTGACGACTGTTATTTAATATTACTAAAAGTACAATGTAATTAGTCGATGTAAATACTTTAAATTTTCACTAAATGTTTATATTAGTGTTGAGTTTTTAAAATTTAAAATTTAATTTTTCCAAGTATTTTTTTTTGGAATAAACCCGATTAAATCGGGCCGATTTGTATCATAATCCGGATTGGGTATGTTAATCCGGATTAAACGGATTGTTATATATATATATATATATATATATATATATATATATATATATATATATATATATATATATATCTTGTATAAAAAATATTTGTATGTACATTCGGCGCTACTCGACTTTCTCCCCCCCCCCCCCTGTTTTTATGATTGATTTTTATAGAGTATATTATACTGATTCTAAATCATATAAAAACATAGGTCTGAAAACTTGAGGAAAGTACTCTTAACTGATGTTAAAGTATAAAAATCCACATTAAAAACGCACGAGCGGTTATTTCCTGAGATCAGATCCCTGTTTTGATTGGATGAAAAATAATACTTACATAAAGTCCGATAAATAGTTTCAAGTTGTATATGAGATATTAGCAAAGCGCATATGATTTATTGGAAATATATTTTTTAAATTGAGGACTATTTGAAACTAGTTTTTTGTCCAATCAAAACAGGGATTTTATCTCAGGGTCTTAAAGATCTCGTAAAACTATATATAAAATATTAACTTAAATATTAAATATATTAAGTTATAGGAGTTTATTGCGCATTATTCATCCAAGAAAATGGATTACAGAAACAAAAAACTTTGTCTAATTTTGTTTCAAGGTTAGTTCAAATAAAAAGCAAAGGTTTTTATATTAATATTTTATTTGATTTGGTTGTAAACTTGAATATTGATTTTATTGGTGAAGATTTTAAGAGATTAATTCGATATGTTGACTTGTTAACTGATTGAATAATTTTTTTATTATTTACATAAAACATTAAACTTTATTTAATAATAACTAGAACTTTATTGATTGAATTTAAATAATAAATTTTAAAGTCAACAAGAACTAGTCTGCACTAGAATAGGGTTTTTATTTAAATAAGCAGAATGAAGTTACCCACAGTAACATATACAAAAAATAAATATTGTTCAAATCAAAACTCTCATAAATAAAAGTATATTTATAGCCAAAATAAAGCCATCCATCTCTATGTGTGTGTGTGTCTATATATATATATATATATATAACATATACAATAAATATATATTGCTCAAATCAAAACTCTCATAAATAAAAGTATATTTATAGCCAAAATAAAGCCATCTATCTCTATGTGTGTGTGTGTCTATATATATATATATATATTTATATATATATATATATATATATATATATATATATATATATATATATATATATATAGTATATATATATATATATATATATATATATATATATATATATATATATATATATATATATATATTATATATATATTATATATATATAGATTTATATATATATATAGATTCATATATATATATATATATATATATATATATACATATATTTATATATATATATATATATATATATATATATATATATATATATATATATATATATATATATATATATATATATATATATATATATATATATATATATATATATAAGTAAAGCTACAGTTACGCGGCCTAAAATAATTATATTTTTGCCAGGGGGTTTTGCTGCATCGACTATCTTATCTTATCTTAGAAAAATGTTTTGTTATGTATAATAATAAAAATCTGTTTTAAAGAATATTTAAAACTTTTCTTTTTAATACATTCAAACCTGAAAAGTAAAGTTTACATTTTTTTTGCAAATAATTTTCTCCCAACAAACTCATGTTATGTGTGTAAATAGCTTGTAAATGAGGCTTGTCAATGAAGCTTTAAGCGCTTTGTTTTCTTTTAATGTAATTTTTGTCTTAATAGAACAAAATGCTTGTGGTAATGTTATTTTTTAATTAAAAAAGCATGACAAAAATAAATTGTAAAAGTATAAATAATATTATTATAATAAACTCTTCTTAAATGTCTTAGGTCTCATGTTTTTAATGTAACTTGTACATAGTTTTAATAATTTCTTAATTTATGGTCACTCTTTTGTTTGAAAGTACTTTTAAAACAAAAAAACTTTTTATTTACTTTTTAATACGGAATTTGCGAGTTGCGCATTTTGCTTAGTTAGTCTATGTCCATAAAATACCACTCAACCATAACTTTTTATCATCGCTCTGTTCTTTAAAAACATTGAACACTCTACTAAATTCACTAACATAATTTGTGTGTTAAGTGTGTGTGTGTGTGTTTGTATATATATATATATATATATATATATATATATATATATATATATATATATATATATATATATATATATATATATACATATATATATATACATATATACATATATATATACATATATATATATATATATATATATATATATATATATATATATATATATATATATATATATATATGTATATATATATATATATATATATACATATATATATATATATGTATATATATATATATATATATATATATATATATATATATATATATATATATATATATATATATATATATATATGTATATAAAAGATAGGGTAATTCCGACCCCTAGTTTAAAAAAAATGCATACAAACAGCAATATGGAATGAAAAACATTTATTTTTAAACAAACTCCTTTTATTTACATAAATAAAAAAACATTATTTAAAAATTATAATTATAACAAAAAACATTTAAATTTTTTTATTATTAAACTCAAAAAAATGTACGAAATGGGAAGATTTCACTCCTTTTGAAACATTTTTAAAAATAGCTTAGGAAATTAAAATTTGTACATTAAAACATTAAAATTAAAAAGAAAAAAAAAAAGAGATTTACACGTATAATCAATCAGTAAATAATTTTCATTTGATAAAAAAAAAAACGTAGTAAATGTATGTAAAAAAAATGCAAATGTAGTGTAGTAAATTTAATAGTCTATAATTAATTCTTAGCCATTATTGAAGGTTTTTTTCTTTATTTATTAATATATATACTAAAATAAACAAACAGGTTAGTTTAAGTATACACATAATTAAATTCAACAAGGACAATAATTGGTATAAGTATAAGCACATTCTACCAGACTAAATAAACAAAGTATGTAAATAAGTTCGAATTGTTCAAATATAGTTATTTAAATAATAGGAGGATTCCGGTATTTTCTTGAACAATAAGTGACTGATTCTTCAATAGAAATTCCATTAGGGTTTGTTGGAGAGAGAGTAGAAAAGTTTTTAGATCTTTTTGGATGGTGAGGCTCAGGTGAAGGGATTATATCAGATTCATTGGAGTTATCTTTGTAGTTATTGCTTCCATCATTATTACTGATTATATCAGCCATTGTTGCTAGATGTCTTGTAGCAACAGTGGTCTCACGTCCATCCGGTATTTTTACATGAGAATATTTACTATTAGCTTTTAAAAACTCAATCTCTTCGACCAGAGGTTTATATTTGCTGAGTCAAACATGCCTTTTAAGCAAACGTTCTTTTGGTACCTTAGTAAGTAAGGTGTTAATATTTGACCAGGGACGGATTTATGACAGGGGCTCCATTAACATTTATACATCCTAAATTGTATTTTTTTCTATTCAAAAATCATGTTATATTTTGTATATATTTGCATAATAAACATCTTATGATCAACATGATCATCACAATTATCATTATCATCATCATCATCATCATCATCATTATCCTCTTTTTCAGCAAATACTACACCATATAAATACTAAAGTTTATATAAATATGAAAGGATATTGTATGCCAGCTTCTAAATAAATAGCAAACATATATGTTTATAGCCATAATATGTATGCATAAAGCGCATCTCAGCTTTTATTTCTTCTGGACTAAAAGTTTAGAAGCTTTTATTCCTACTCTTAAATATTAAGTCAAACCTCATTCCAATCCATATTTTTCACCATCTTGAGCAGTTGCTTTATTAATCATTTGTTTCATCTTTTTTACAGAATATCTCTTTTAAAAACAAATATCCTTTCATTATTTTTAGAATCCAGTGTAATAAGGTTCCATCTGATGTTAACGTCTGTTATTCTCAGTTTACTAAATCTTGTATCGTATATCAGATGTATAGTTCTAGAGACTTTTAGTTAGTTTTCAACAGTGTCATAAACTAGTCTAACATTTAATCTCTAATTCATGGGTCTGATATTTTTACTTCTCTTCAGAACAAAGCAGAGATGTTTGCAAAGTAATCTTACCCTAATTAGGTTCATTAATCTAATGGCCATACTCTTCCTGACAGTTAAACAGATTAACTTATTATTAAACATCCAAATCACTCTGGCTTTAACTTAGGTAGTCATTACTACTAGATCAAGTTTTCGAAGTCTGAAATAAAACAATTAAATTGAAGTATTAAAAAACAATTTCTAAATGTAAAACTAACCAGTTCTTGATCTTTGTCTAAATTTTAAAAAATCTAAGTTTACTACCTCTTATACCTAAATCGAAGCAGCTGTGGTACTTCTCAGTTTAATGTCTGGTATCTGTATGAAGCAGCTGTGGAGCCGTCATTGGTAAGGAAGGAGGTGTAAACTTCCTTGTTAAATGCTCCTCTGCGGCTCTCTGTGATGAGATACCTTTCGAACTTCTTGGATTACCTTTACAACTAAGTTAAAACATTGCTTTATTTTATGCCTTTATTTTGTTTACTTTGAACATAGACATTGTTAGTTAATGTTGCTTTATAACTTAATTTTGTTTTATTACTTTATTTTGGTAACTTAATATGCATCGTACCTCTACATTGTTTATGTTTTCAATTGTGAGACAAAAGCAATTCGTTTTAATAAACTAAAATAATTGAACTTCTCTTATCTACAACAAATTATATAATTATATATTAGTTATACTAAGTATTGTTCACTTTTATTCGTTATTATATTTGTTATCATAATCATTATTTATTCGTCAAAGTTAACTAAATTATTTAACTAATTAGTTAACTAAAGTATAAACAACTTAGGTAAGGAAAAACAAGTTTTAAATCTATTTTTCGAATTGTTAATTGTTACAATTACAAAATTTTATCTTTGTTTAATGTTTTTTTTATCTTTAACAATTTTAATAGCACATTTTATGTGGAGCTTACTTATATTTATACTTTACCAAATTTTATAAGAGTTCATAAAACATTGCAAGTTTTTTCATTTTATATTTTGTTTGACTGCATCTATATAATTTTAAGAATAAATTGTTTTTTACTCATTTTTATGAGTAAAAAACATCAAAAATTTGATGTTTTTTACTCATAAAAATCAAAAACAATCTCAAAAATTATCCCAAAATTAATAGAGATTCGTGTATTGAGCACCTTAGAGTTGACTAATTGACTCATCAAGTAAAATAGACATTCTCGAAGATTGTAAGTAAACATATTTATTATTGAATTTCTTATCTGGTTTTATCATTTTTACTATTATAATAGTGCAGTATCGCTTCTGCATTTTAATAATTCGTAGTACCGTATTTCTATTTCTTAACTGGTATTGTCACTTTAATTATATATTACCGTATTTCAATTTCTTAACTGGTATTGTCACTTTAATTAAATATAGCAATAGGCGTCTTCACAGTTCCGATAATTTCATGCGCGCGCCTATTTAATACTACGTCATGGTACTTTATGGGCAGAATCGCATCAAAACAAGTAAATACTCATATAAATTAAAATAGTAACCTTGAAATAAACAGTTGTTTACATGAGATTTTTTTAAAAAAAGACATTGATTTAGTTTAATATAAGTTTATTTTACCCATTTCAAGTTTAAAATCTATACTGTTTATATGCTTTTGTTATATAATATTTGTAATCAAGGAAAAAACGAATTTGTATGTTGAGTATAAAAGTATTGAATACTGATTAATAAAAATAAGCTCGGGAAAGAAGATTGTTAAATAGTAATTTATATATATTTATATATATATATATATATATATATATATATATATATATATATATATATATATATATATATATATATATATATATATGTATATATATATATATATACATAATAGATTTATATATATATACACACAAAAACATAACTATATATATAATATATTTATATATATATATATAATATATTTATATATATATATATATATATACACACAAAAACATAAGTATCAATGCACATCTCATACTCGAAATGTGTAAAATGCATAGGAAAAAAAATATTCTTCAAGAGCTTTTATTTCTTTCATATTTATCCTTTAAAACAAACATATAAAAAGTATAAATATATAAATAATATAAAGTTAGCCTTAAAATAGTTAAAATAAAGTTAAGTAATTTAAAATCGATACTTTTATTAAAAATAAAAGTAAAGGAATCTCGTGTAAACAACTGTGTTTTTCAAGAATGCTTTCATAATATATTTGTGTATTAATTTTCTTTCATGCGATTCTGCGCACAAGGAACAATGATGTACTGTTAAATGTTCGCGCGCACTAAATAATCGGAACTGTGAGGAGGTCTATTCTTGCCTGGCAATAAATCCTTATCGATACTATTAGATTCATTGTATTATTGGTATTTCATAAAATTTATTTAATTTCAACTAATTAAATGAAATAAACAGAAGAAATCATTTATAAGTTTAAGTGAGAAAAATTAACACTACAGTATAACGGGAGCGTTAATCAACAACGTTATCTGGCACTACGGACGTAGCGAATGATGTAGGGGCAGTATGGAGGATACTAATGCGTGTTGCCACTCACACGCAGTTTTTGTTACTCAATAACATAAAAAAAAATCAATTTTTCTAATAGGTATAATTATTAATAACGATGCCACGACCTCCAACACTTTGGAATCTTCTTCTGCGGGATAGATTCCACCCAAACGATGGCAGGTCGCGGCCACCATTTCCAGCCCAAAAATGATTTTGGAAAACTGGATTTTGGGCCTGGGTGAACACGGCGCCATGCCTCAAATTCAATCCACGATAACTCTAATAAAAACAAAATAAAATAAAAAACAACTACTCTTGAATAGTCTGAGTCTATGACTTATTAACACTCAACCTTTTCAACTAATTTAAAACTTAAATTATTAAAGCTTTAAATTAGTTGAATTTATATTTATTATAATTATTAAAACAATTATAGAAAAGAGAAGTATCGAACTAAACAATTTTTTTTTTTTTTTTTTGCATTTTGGAGATACATCCCTTTTCTAAAACGGGTGCAAAATATTATATTCTAATATTATTTTATAACTACATATAATTTATTGTATAATTATTATATAAAAGTAGAATACAAACGATTCTTTTTTGTTGTTTAAAAATAAACAATCTTGAAAACAGTTAAACATATAGTGAGTTAATGTAATAAAATAATTATTATTGCGACGTATTGAAAAATTGATATTACGACGTTGAAAATTGCATAACTTGGTCTTTTTTGTTTTAAAAATTTAACGTGGAGGATATGCAAATTATTTTCATAATAACCTAGGCATGTAAACCTAGACTGAAATTCCATACGAGAACATTCATTTCCGAGTTACCTAAAATCAAAAAACTGTACAATTTACCTTTCTCTAGTGGTAAAGCTGGATATGCTAGTGCCGGTAGGACTGGTACTGCTGGTGCCGGTAGGACTGGTACCACTGGTACCGATAGCGCTGAATCATCTAAATAATATAATAGCTCAAAATCGATAAATGGCTATTGTAACGATGTAATGATATAACGTTAAATTGAAATATTGTAAATATTAGTAAAACAAAATTGTAATATTTACTATCATTTGATTCGGCCTCAGATTCCTCCACTAACATAAAATTTAAATTAAGTGTTTTCAAAAATAATTACAATTATCTTTTCTAAAATAGCAAACTGTATTAAATTTAGCTTTTTAGGCTGACTATACTATTTAAACACTATAAAAGCACTCCATACAAAATAATACCTAACAGCGAAGCTTTCTTTTCTGAAAAAAAGAAAGGGAAAATACTTACTAAGGGGCTGTCCATAAAGTACTCACGCTAAAAGGGGGAAGTGGTCTTCAATTTTGGCGTACGTACTATATGGAGGATCCCTATACATAAAATTGAACGTTTCATATACAGAGAATTTGCTAATACATAAAATGTTACCTAAATCCAAGATCTTTTTGTCTAAAAAAGATGAGGCATAATTTAATTTTGTGTATGTGAAATTATGAATATTTTTACATACAATATTACTGTAATTCAACATGTAATAATCTAGATAATTTTTGACTAACAAATTTGAAGATTTAAAATTTTTATAAATAAAAAAACTTAAAAGTTTGATGCCAATAAATACCTAAATCTTTTTTTGCTGCCACTAATAAGAGAAATAAAATATATTTATGTTTTTATACTTTATAATAATAAAGAAATAAAATATCTTTATAATTAATTTTCAATTACTGGCCTGATAAATTTTTATTTGATAAATAGCATAAATTAAATAATACCATAAAACAAAATTAACAATCATAAAAAAGTATAAAGTTTAACATTACATAATTTAATTCTCTCCTGTAGTTGAGCTAGAAAAAAGTAAATAAAATATTTGAAACATATTTTGGAAAGAATGACTATAAAACAGTTTTTGGAAACAAACTTTATATTAATATTTAAAATATTTATTTCATTCCAAGTTTCAGTTCTTTGTTTTTACTAAAGAAATCGAAAAATATGAGGAAGAAAATTTTCAAAAATAATAAATGATTTCATAAAAAAAAATTTAAAAGTAATATCTATTTTTATTACCAACTTGTTTTTTTATTATATCCAAATCTTAACAAAAAATACCATATAAAAATTAGGAATTCTAAATTTTTTACAAAAACAAAAAAAATTCTCTTTCACTTAAAAAGCATTATTTTTAGAAGATTTTTTTGAAAATTAAATTAAAATATTAATGCCATATCAAAACATTTAAAACAAACATTAACTTCAATTACCGAACTCAGTGTTTAATATATCCATATCTAAAAACAGAAAACATAAAAAAACTATAATTTTTTTACAAAAACAAAAAATATTCTGTAAACTAAAAAAAACACATAATTTTTGACTTAAAATAAAAATAAATTACTACTTATGTGTGTTATAAGTAATAAAAATTAAAGTAATAAAAAATTGGAGTAATAAAATTTTACTTAAATAATGAAAAATTAGCTTTATACAATAATTATATACATTATTATACAACTATATACATTAACTATATGCAATAATTTAAAAAAATAATTCCAAACTAGTGTTACAAGCATCACCTTTTCTTCTTGTTGGAAGCTTCATTGTTGTTATAATTCACTATGCTAGTTTATTTGAAAAGGTATTTCATGTAAATTAATTATAATAAAATTATATTTTATGAAACTGGTTATAAAAAAGTATATTTTTACCTAAAAAAAAATGTAAAATATATTTTGAAAAACAACAAAACTTTTTAAAAACTAAAACATACCTTTTAAATTCAAATCTTTCTTCACTAAATAAATTAAAGAATTCAGCCATCACATAATAGGGGATGTTAAAATTTTTTATAATTTACTACTTATTTAGAATTTGCAATTTAAATAGTTGTAATGAAATATATTTAATTAAGAAAGTAATAATAATAATGTAATAATAAAAACCTAATAATTAATTTTTTTTCCAACATCTACTTTTCTTTTGACAAAATCTAGGAAAAACGATAACAATTAATAGTATTATTATAAAAGTTATTATCAAAAATTTGGAGGAACTGAATTTATTACTAATTAAAATAACAGAGATGAATACCACAAGAATAATCTTCTTCATAGTTATTTTCTTTTGCTAAACAATAAAATAAATTATTTGTTTGAAAAAAAAATATTAAAAGCTACAAAAAAAAGATCAAAAATGTTTTATAGATTATATTTATTTTTACCTTTAATTGAGGGAAACCAGAATATTATTTAAATAAATAGTTTATCAATATATTGTATTATACAGCTAAGAGAGACTTTTTAAAAAATAAACACTATCAAATATTACTTACAACTTTGTCCAACTTCTGACATTTTAACTGAGACCTCAAAAAATATTTATAAAGTATAACATAAGCATATAAATATAAGTATACTAATTCTATTAAAAACATATATATATATATATATATATATATATATATATATATATATATATATATATATATATATATATACATATATATATATATATATATATATAAATCCATTAGAACCAAACTAAATGAGCAAATTGGCAATTTTTCGTAATAAATAAATAAATATATAAAGTCTTCTCCGCTTGATGAGCGCTTCCACGCTCTTGCAGTTTTGCGCTCGCTCACACGCTCGCCAATACTACAGTTGGCGCTTTTTATTAACCGCTCGCCAAAAAATTTTAAGTGTATCTTTAAATTTCAATAAATCTTTTTTCCCAATCAAATTCTAATTAAAAAGGTACAAAAAACAAACATTTTTTAAAGTTGCGAACGCAAGACAAATATTTACTGTGCAGCCAGAGGTTTTTCGTGTGCTGCCGGAAAATTTCAAACGGAGAATACAGTGTGTGTGTGTGTGTGTGTGTGTATATATATATATATATATATATATATATATATATATATATATATATATATATATATATATATATATATAAATATATATATATAAATATATATATATATATATATATATTTATATATATATAAATATATATATATATATATATATAAATATATATATATATATATATATATATATATATATATATATATATATATATATATATATATATATATATATATATATATATATATATATATATATATATATATTCACTTCCAAGTGTTGTGCAAAATTCAAACTTATGTATGTTCATGCTTATGTTAAATAAGAATGTTTTTCAATGAATTGCATGAATTGTTGCTTGAGAACAAAAAAAACTAAACTTTTTGGCCCATAATGTGGCAGCAAAAAGTTTATAAAATATTTTCTTTACTATTCTTTTTTAAATTTATATTCTTCAACAAATTGGTGTTAAGTTTTAATGACTCTGCAAAGTTTAAAACTCTCACAAATTGAGGTAAAAAATTTGGTAATTATTTCTAAAAAACAAGGAATTTTTCATTAAATTTGAAATTAGGCGATGAATCTAAAGTCAGACAAAAATAAAAGAAAAAATATTTTATAAACTTGTTGCTCCAACATTAAGAACTGGGTGGACCCAAACCTTAGGGGTTTTTTGTTCCCTTGATCTTATCACAACATTTCATTGCAAAACATTCTCATTTGACATAAGCATGAAAATGAAAAAGTTTTGAGTTTGCACAATGCCAGTAAATGTAAAAACTCAAACATCTAAAAATCCAGTGTACACCTTTGGTATATATTGTTCTATCTTTACTAAGAAGCATTTCATATTCAAATTAAAAAGAAATTAATTTTTCATATAAACAGAAATAATTTTTCGTAAAAAATAGTATTTAATTTTTTAACTTAAAAATAAAAATAGTTCAAAGATCAAATTGTTTTATTGATTTAAAATGATGGATCTTTGAGATCAGCGGTATTTAGTCAGTTGGCTGTTGCTTTTTGTTAAAAAGAACAGTTAAAGTTAAACGTTGATAAGTTATACATCTAAGTATTGAAAACTTGTATTGCTATTAATGTATACTTTTAGGAACATTAATAACTCAAATGCCTCAATCTTGAATCAACCTTGATGAAAGATATAAATCCAAACTGTTTATCTTATTACTGTTTAAATGTTCAAAAATTTGATGACCAAAAACAACACAATTGTGCAAAACAAAAAAACTAGGTCTAAAAACATACTAATTTTATAAAACACTATCTTTTTCTATAATTCAATTCTTTTATTAAACTAACGTCTCTTAAACTAACTTGACTGCAACCATTTTCTTGTTTTATTAAGGTTCTTTGTTGTAAAATCCAATATAACAATTCATACATCTAAGCTCGGTCATATTCAAAATATCTTCAAAAATTTGATGACTAAAAACAACACAATTGTCCAAAACAAAAAAACTAGGTCTAAAACATATTACTTTTATGAAACACTATCTTTTTCTATAATTCAATTCTTTTGTTAAACTAACTTGACTGCAACCATTTTTTTGTTTTAACAGAATTCTTTGTTGTAAAATTCAATATAACAATTCATACATCTAAACTCGGTAAATTCTATTCACTTTCAGTTCTTTCTTAGCTAAAATCATATGTATAAATATATATTATTAAATAAACTTTTATAAACTTATATAAAACATTTTACTTATATGAGTGGGTCAGAAGCCAAGGGGTACAAGTGACAATTTTACCAAAATTAAGTTAAGTATAGAATTTGATAGAAGAAGCAAACAAAATTGTTGGTGGCCAAGGGATACAAGTGAATCTCTGCCCTGTGCTGCTTTTTACTGGAAAAACATAACAACAGCTGAGTATATCTAACAAAAATACTTTTACTTTAAACAGCTGTATCTCAAAACTATGAAAATGTCACTTGTACCCCTTGGCTTCTGACCCACTCATATGAAATATTAAATCTTAAAAGTAACACTTACTTTTCTCAGAACTATTGAGAATACACATGCCTGTATAAAATCTTTCACAGTTGCAATGATGCAAGATCTGAAAATTCTTCTAAATAAAATGGTTATTTCAGCAAAAATACTACTGGGTAGCCAATTTTAAGCTTTCATGACGTAGGATTCCCTACCCAGATTTATGAAACATAATTAATTTTTTTTTAAATACTGTTGTGCATAAGTAATAATTGTTACTTTTGTTTTATAAAAGTGGCTGGGGTTAATAATCTTAATAATATAATGACCATTAAAATCATAGTCATAGTAGCATAGGCATCCTGATAGTGGTGGGGGCATAGACAGGTGTTGAAGGCCCCCTCTATGATTTTTTATATGGCAAATCAGACACTGTAGTCAGTTTTTTTAAGTTTCTAGTCAGTAAAAAAAGATATTCTCCAACCCCCACTCTTTTTAAGATCTGTTCGGGACAGCCCTGCATAGAAGCTATTAACCTGTTATTAGATTTTTCACAAAGCACAATAGTATTTAAAATCCTATGCAAAAATAGATTTCCTTGTGAACCCTACAAGTTGCAAATATTATTTTTTTATTGAATTGCAAATTTCTTTAGTTACAACATTCGTTCGTTTTTTAACACATAAGAGCACTTTTTAACTCTAGTGTTTAGCTATATTTTATATCTATATAGTTTTAAAAACTAATACAAAAATGGAACAAATATATATACATACATATATATATATATATATATATATATATATATATATATATATATATATATATATATATATATATATATATATATATATATATATATATATATATATATATAAGATAACCCTAACGACTTATACCAATTTCACAAAAGGCTATATAACACTAAATTACCAATGCCATAAAGGTATAAGCGTGTAGTGTCAAAAAAACTTTTAACATCATGACACAAACAGCACAATTAGGGCAATTTATACCAGTATCACAAATAGCTATATATTATAATGCCAATTTATATGCTAATATCAGAAAGGTATAAATGTCTATGCCAATATTAAATTTTAGGTATAAACTAAAAACGAAGTAAAACTTTGAAATATATGTAAATAAGCTGTAACATTTGCAGACAATGTTAGCTTTGCCTGGTCTTTAAATTTGCTATCGTTAACAATAATATTTGCATTCAAAATTGAATAAATCACCTTTAGAAACAGTAGCATTACCATTTATTTAAAACTTTAACAAAAATACAGTTAACAGATATACTATTTCTAATAACATGAATCTCAGTGAGACAAAGAAAATAATTCAACCTAGTGAATGTCTGCGTTATACCAAACCTTGCTTTGAAAAATTAGGCAAAACATTATTAAGTATGCAACTTTTGTGTTGTATGCATAACTGGATTACTTCACATTAAATGATGTTTAATGTAGTTAAAATTAATTTAGTAAACCTTATTGGAATATTTCCCTTTGTTATGAAAAAAAAAAGTAGTACCAAAACTTAAAATTAATTTTTTAGCAATTTAAACGAAAGCTGCTGGTTGAACCAATTTTATTTATCTATTGCAAGTTGGTCAGATGAAAAACTAATATATATTAGGATTTGGAGTTTACTTGGAAGACTTTTTAATATAACAGTTTTATTTCTAATATAAACTGATGATTTTAACAAATATATAATATCAAAAAACAGCTAATATTAAAAAAAGAAATTCAACTATTTTAAAAGAATGAAATAAACATCATAATCGAGTAATAAGTAACTTAACTTAATCAATATTTTGATATTTTTATTCCAGACGCAAAACTTTTTTGGAATCACACTTATGGCAAACAAAACGCACATTAGCTATTGTGTCAGCTGATGACACACAAATCCTGAAAATATTAGAAAAAAAAAATCAAGTTTTAAGTTTATTTATGCTCATTAAATTTCATTTAAAAAATGTATTTACTTACCAATGGTACCATGTCTCACAAACTTCACACTCAATCATATCCTTGTACTGAGGTTTACTGCATACAGAACAACTCCAACTTTCTTTAATGTGAAGCACTATAAAAGCATGCTAGTAATGGTAACTTATAAATGGTTATTGGCATAATACTATGTATAATTTGTATAAACAAGTAAAAATGAAAAAAATAGTTCTAATTATAAAACTTAAAAAAAACAGTTTAAATAAAAAATCTTTTATATTAAATAACTGACTAAAATCAAAAGCAGTGGAAATCAATACTAGCAGCTTTAGGGTTTTCATTAAATCTATTAAAAAATGTCTTCACTAAGAGAGAAGCAGATACAAAAAGGAAAGGACTTGACAAAAACAAACCAAAAAAGAATAGGTTAAAACAAACAAGAAATATAGTCTACTAGCATGCATACTAAATGGCTAGAAAAGTAGTCTCAAAAATTTTTCCTGTGTAGATAATAGGGTGAAAAAAGTAATTTTTTTTCATACGAAACAACTTGCAATTAAGGAAACTTTTGATGTTATTTAAAAATAAAAATAGCAGTAAAAAATTTTTAAAAAAAAAAAGCTCATCCACACCTTTTTTTGTGTATTATTCAAAAAAGAAAAAGGTAATAACTAAGCAATTATTAACAAATAAGACACAGAACAGTTAGTAATCTGTTCAAAAAATACAAGAAATATTTAAAAAAATATTTTTTGCTATAAACTTCATATTCAAAAATTCAATTTTTCTAGATTTTGCATGAAGTTTCAACATTAGTTTTACAGCACGTTCAGAAATTTGTAGCAGATAAAGTTGCATGCTGTAGCAAGAATGCTGCGTCTCACTGGTATAAGAATGAATGATTATATCCCATGTGAGTTCCATCTTGCCTGATGTAAATTTAGAAGTTTTTTCCATCTGATTTGAGGCCAATGTAATGTTATTTTATAATGATAATATGCATGACATTTTAAGTACTTTATAGAAGTACTTGAAATTATCTTGCAATCCAGGGTTTTTGCCAGTGTTAACACCATTTGTCGCAATGAGGTGGAAATCAGCCTGAAGAGAGACATTGTTTTTATTTAATTTGTCAATGAAGAAGCAGTTGAGTTCTGGTCTGCTCGTTGGCTCTTGAATAATTCATGACATGTTTCAGAAGGAGGTCAAGTACATGGTGCTGACAGCCAATATGTGGTTTACGAAAATCCTTGCTCAAGATATCATTCTGTATGAGGTTTACAATCCAGTGCAAATGACCAGTATTTACTATGATCACAGATTATCATTTTATTTTTTTTAAATATTAGGTGCTTTAGTTCCTTAATGAGATAATAGTGGAAAGTCTAGAATTTCACTACAGAGAAATTCCAAGTTCTTATAGTATAGTGTAGTTGGAATAAAAAACAATAGAATTACATTTATAGCCATCTGTAAATGCTTTGTTTATAAACTTATGTAAACAACTGACTGGAATCTGCTTAAAAGTAGACTAGAACATCATATAAAAACTCAGTATAAAATTGAAACACATAGTCAAACTGCGCAATAAGTAAACAAAAGTAAATAAAAAGGTGAGGAGACGTTTTTCAATTTTTTAAAAATTAATGTTGCATCTGTCAAATAATTGTCTCAAATAATTGTTCCTCAAATGTAAGGGGCTTTGTTACAAAAAAATGTGTTAATAGTTATTACCTTAGTGGACAGTTTATAGATGCCCCTTAAAAAACTTACATTTTGTCTCAACAATTTCAAACGCATCTGGGTTTATTAACTCTTTGACAATTGAAACATCATGATTTAGTATTTCTAGAAGCGGGAAATTGTTATCCAGACGTAAGTCTTTTTTAGTTAATGTGTTACTGATAGTTGGTCTTTTGTAAGCAAAAAAATGTAAAATTTTTCTTTGTTCTAAAAATATGGCAAGTTACACACGTAAAATTCCATTAGTAAATCATATAAATTTATATGCAGTAATACATATATTAAAAATATCCTTAATATGTATATAGAAATATTGTATAAATAATTTTATAAACTCAATATTTATTTTATTAAAAAAAAAATAAAAGGATTACCAGGCGTCAAAATAGTTGTCATGGTTATTTCATTCACACTACTTCCCACACTAAATGAACATTGTTCTAAAAAAATAAAATTTGGGCAATTATTATTTTACACTATGATATTTCAATAAAAATATAAATAGCAGAACCTTTTTCTGTGGTAGTCCACAAGGAGAAATCAAAAAGTTGTTTAATTTCATCAGCAGAAGGTTTAGCAAGTCTAACATTGGATATTTGTCTCTTTTTTTTGTTGAATAAAATTTTGGTTGCTTTAAAATTTTTTTGTTGGATGGCGCATTAAATTTTAAATGGAATTCTTCAAGTTTAATGGTTTTTAAATTTAAAAAAGAATTTTTAGCCAATGAAAGATTTTTATTCAAAGCCTGCAAAGCATCCTCGTCTGACACTGAGCTTGAGGATACTAAACTAATTACGTCAATCAAATTTTTTGTTATATTTTTTTTTTAAATATCTATATCGAAAGGGTCACAACTTTTGATAAATTTGCAGTTTGATTCAAAAGACGCTGATGGTAAAATAATCTGTTTAATATTTGTTGGCAAGTTCTGACTTTTAACACGATGTACTAAATGAATGTGTTTGCATGGCACATTTTTAGTGAAAAAATCCATACAATTGCAACTATATAAATGTGAACATACTCTGCATTTTGGGCACTTTGTTAGGCACTCACTTAGATTACATAAATCCTGATGTTTTGCGATTTGGTATTTATAACCATTTGTTTCTGATTCTACAACCCATTTATCTTTTTCCACTGAAGTATAACATTCTGGTAATTGCAAACTGGCAATATGCCTTGAATGTATCATATTTAATTTATAGCTATTTTTCCCTTTAGTCAGTTTTATCAATCTTTCATAGACTTTGTCTCTGTAATACTTAAGTAAACTGAACAAGCAATTATCAACTCTTCTATTATGCTTTCCATTTAAGTAGCTGTATTTAAACACATTATGAAATGACTCTAAATACATATAGGTATTTATTCCATGTCCCATACGATAACTGAATGCCCATATTTGTTTCTTACATGCCCAAAATTTTTCAAAATATTCTGCAAACATTTGTGTCAAAACTAAAGATTGCAAATATCTAATGAATGATTGCAAGTAATCATCAATAGTTTTCGATCATCTAGTTGTAAAATAAATCTGAGCCTTTTATATATATCTGCTTCAATTTCAAGGTTTTGTATTTTTTTATGTAGTTCAATTCTCCATGCTTTATCAACATGCCAAGTACACCAAAATTTAAGAGGAAAACATGAATATGCAGCACAAAATGCTTCATAATATTGAGAAGCCATATCACTCATTGTCCAAATTGGACAGACATCACCAAAACTCTCTTTAAGTTTTAAAAAAAATAATTTGAGAAAAGAAAATGAATCACTATTAGCTATACACCATCCAGCAGGTTGCCCTTTGCCTAATTCATGAATAACTAATATTGTAGTGAGAAGGAAATCATATGCATTTGTGCCATGAGTAGAATCAATACATACACCATGTTTTCCGAACTGTTGTATCATTTTTTTTTGGTGCTCTGTTTGGATTATTACTACAAAATCTTCATGTTTAAATGTATTAGATGGATCTGCTTCTCCCTGCAATTTGTAATATAATACTGGATTGTTTCCCTTTAATTCCCACTCCTTTAGCCACAATCTAACACTGTCTTGGTCATTAGCATGAAGTTGTACTGAACTAATATTGAAAGCTTTTTCAAGATTATTTAAATCTTTGCGCTGAGTTAAATGTAATCTTGAATAAAAACAACCCATTTCATCCCTTATCTCATCTAAGATTCTTGCTTTGCTTATACCTATATGCAGTTTTCCTGCAATTACTTTTTTTTGAGTGGATGTTAGAAAAATATGTTGAACTTTATTTCGATGTCCATAGTGAGAATAACAAACGCGAGCTGTCACTATTCCATTTAACTTCTTAAAAACTTTAATTGTTGCTGTACAATTTTTTTCAATTTTTCTAGTTCCTATGAAATAAATGAAATGTAGTAAAGTATTTATAATTATATAAAATGTTTTTAAAACATGAGTAATAAGAGTACACATTAATTTATCTAAATAGCAATAAACTTGAAGAAATATATTATTTTTTGTTAAATTGCATAAAATTGTTTAATGCCATGTTTATGCGATTAATTTTAACCGTTTCGTGACAGTTGACCTGCCCTGCAGGTCATAAAAACATTTTCTATTTTCATGACCTGTAAGGCAGGTCAACTGTATGACAAATAACCTGCCTAACGGGTCATTTCCTAAATTTACAAACATTTTAGTTTTAATAAGATGTTAAGTAAACCATATAGCCAAACAAATAACCAATTTTTTTTCAGTCAGGAAAATGTTAAAAAGTCAATATTAGATAAAAATTTATGTGATAGATACCACTACTTTGAATTTGTCGCTTTCCCGAGGACATGCATTTATAAAAACCACTTCTATTGCATTGATAATATGTGGTTTTACCACCATTTTTATCAAGCTTTTCCCCAGAAGTTACAATGTATTGAACTGTTACTATTTGTTTCAAGTTCAGATTTCCATATTTCAAATTCTAAAAAAAAAAAAAATGCATTATTTGCACAACTATGCATATTTGATTCAGCATTAAATATAGAAATTTTCAAAAAATCAAGTCAACAATGCCTTAAATAAAAAATAAAAGCAAAATATTTATTCCTAGCTCCAAAGTTGGCGTCACTTAAACTGAAAGCCTGACCAACGAAATAACACAAGATAATAAAATAAAAATAATGGCAACAACAAAAGGAATTATGTAGCACAATTTATCTGTGATTAAGACAAAATAAATAAAAAAGTAATTCTTCAGACTATTCAATTAATTGTGTGATGTAATTTATGGACAACCCTTTAAGTGAAAAAGCAGTTAAAGAAAAAACAGTTTCATTTTTTTATTGATAAAAATTAATTAAAATATTGACACTCAAAGAGAAAAGTGATCAAAAGAGTGTTAACACTCTAACAATAATAGAAACTATATCAACAATAATAATAACAATAATAATAACTCCAATAACAATATTCAGAAACAATGAAACATCGCAAAAAACACATTTCAGAGATTGAAAATCTTTTTTATTTGAAATGTTGCTGACATTTTTGATAAACTTGGTTTTTGAAACACTTGTGGGTATAATATCTTCATCATTTTCAGAGTCAGGTACTTCAAACGAAACATTTTCTGGCACAACAAATTCTAATATAACTTCTTTGCTAATGAACCATGACATTAATACATACCTTAAATATTTAGAGTATTTTGTAGGGTCTTGTAGAAAAACGTAATCATGGTTATGCGGTTTATCTATGCTTATTATATACATAAAGTAATCAAACCGTAAACATGAGATAGCACATAATTTAATTACAACAACACCACATGCATTTCCACATGTCTGCAATGGATAATTTTTCCTGCATAAAGAACTACATACTTTACCTCCATATTGATGAGTAGTTGCATCGTGGCAGTAGACAATATTAAAGCTTGTACTTACATAATACAACTTTTTGATAAACAAGTCTAATTTAAACAGAAAATCATCAGGACCAACCCAAAGAATCTCCATAGTAAAAATTAGCATCAATGTTATTATAAACTCCTAATGTCCAGTGACAACCTGGAATATTATCTGATCCGGTAAATGTCTTCTCACTGTTTCCTCCAACATTCAAAATGAAGATCAACTTTTCAGGAACAACAGTTATTTTTGATAATAAATACTCAAGATTTCCCATAAAGTTGAAATATATTACTTTTGTATGATTCTGACATGAATTCAAAATACTGCAAATTTGCAGCATATGATCTGATGAGAGCCATCTTGAGCAACATAACTCAGCCAAAGTATTAGGTGTCATTCCATACATAGAAATTTCTTCATTTGCTGGCTTTTCTAACAGCAGCTCTTTAAATCTTTCTATTAAATCAGAGGAAGGAAAGCTATTGATGGATTTAGGTATCAACTTTGGAGAATCAAACCAAATTAGCTTTTGCTCAACAGCTAATTTCATATATTGAACTCTATGAAGCCTAATCAGATGTTAAACACTTTCATAACTAAAACTTCCTAAACTGCACTCTACAATATGATAACCAACAACAATATTGTTACGAAGAGATAATTCGTTTGACCATTTGATTAATTGTTGTTTAGGTGGCAAGGTCTTTAAAGAGAAAACTGCATCGTTGTTGTCATCAAAACTATTGATTGTTTTAATAGAGTAATCATCAACAACTTTTGTATATTGTTTAAATGACTCATAAGCATCTTTCCGATTATAATTTCTGATTGAATTTAAACTAAGTTTTATTTTATTTTGAGAAAAGCAAATAGATGCCTAAAACAGAACATTTATGTAAATATATACATATTATTTATATTAAACATGATCTAGATAAAATATTAAACTTTAAACCTTTAAATTAAAGGTTATGTGATAAATAGTTATATAAAGTTATCTTACTAATATAGTAATATTAAAAATACTAATTATATTAGTATTTTTAATATTACTATATTAGTAAGATAACTTTATATACTGTAACAACTAATATGAGTCAAGTTAAATTATGTATTAAAGATGCTAAAAAAATAAACTTACCATCGTAATACTTGTCTAGTAAAATATTTTACATTTAGCAACGATCCCGTGAAGAATCTAGAATGCTAAGAAAATTACAGCGTTGCCTACAGTTCATTATTGCGTAATTAGAACATATATACACAGCATATATGTTTTATGTTAAGCATTTAAAAATAATCCGGCTAACGAGAAACTATTTTTCGGACTTTATGTAAGTATTATTTTTCATCCAATCAAAACAGGGATCTGATCTCAGGAAATAGCCATCTTTGTCATACTCGGTTATAATAAAATTCTTTTTCAATAAAAACTTTGAAAAACCCTGGTTTCTATCGACGCTTGAATTTAAAACGCATTTTTTATTGATTTCCTGCCCCAACTAAACCTTGACCAAAATCATGTACATTTAATTGCGCCAATTCCTATTTGTCAGTAGATATGTACATAAATTTACGCCAATTCCTATTTGTCAGTCGATGTATGTCTATTTAATCGCGCCAATTCCTATTTGTCAGTCGATGCATTTACATTTAGTTGCGCCAATTCCTATATGTCAGTCGATGTATGTACATCATAAAATATAAAAACAACAATAAAAACCGGGTCGTTTGTTAAAAAATTAATTACCTAAATTTTAAAGATGGTGGAATATTAGCGTTTTTTAATGTGGATTTTTATACTTTAACATCACTTTAGAGTACTTTCCTCAAGTTTTCAGACCTATGTTTTATATGATTTCGAATCAGTATAATATACTCTATAAAAATCAATCATAAAAACAGGGGGGGGGGGAGAAAGTCGAGTAGCGCCTGTACATTCAATGTTGTGTGGAATTATATTTGTTGAAAATACTGTTTTACCTTTAATTTTTTTTTTGTTTAGCGTTTCATAGAAGTACTATCCCACTTTTATTTAAAAAAAAATTGATACAAGGCAGTATATAAATTATACTGAATGATAATTTTGTGGTAACAATAAACATTATTAGATAAAAATATTATTAAATGTTCATTGGGTGCAAGTTGTCACTTTGAATATTTAAGTTTAAAAACTTAATCCGAAAACACAAAATGTCCAAGGTTTTTACAAATATGCAATATGTTATGTTACGTCAATCGTATTTAATGTTTCTGGTTAAGTTGCCTGCGGTTATGGTTATAAAGCTGACTATTTATGCACAAGAAGAACTGAAGTCGACCACCTATTGTATATACAATCAAAGCCAGGAAGGTTTGATTCTATTCACTTTTTTGACTATTTTGTTTGGGTTAGGGTTGACTGTTTTGTTTTTTGACTGTTTATGTTTTTTATCAAATTGTAGCAGCATTCCTATTAGTTATCAAAGTAATTTTTACAGTGAAAAAGTACTTGAATTTACTAAAGAAAATAGTATCTTGTTGAGAAAGAAACAGTATCTTGTTCTATAACTGGTAACTCTACCTATTTATTGCAATCTCTTAATGTTGCATTTTATTGTACTTTTAAAAAATATTGTAAGAAAATACTTGATCAATTGGAAACCTTTAAAAAATGCATAGACTATTACAAAAAATAAATCTTCTTTGTTCATTGTTTACTTATAATCATTAAGTTTGTTAAATCAAAAGGTAATCAACATCTTAGTTGCTTAGCAGTTTTGAAAAAAATATGAGAGTTACCTATTAGATATAAGTATCATCAGCAGACTCAAAGGAAAAAAAAAATTACTTTTGATCTTTTAAAAAAAAATTCTTTTGAGGATTTTTGGCAAAATGTGAAGATATTCCACTTGCAAAGTCTATAAGTGAAACTGATGTAAATGAGACTTTATTTATGCTATTCCACTTAAAAAATACCTATTTAAACAAAATAAAATACAAAATAGGTGTTTGTTATGAAAAAATGTTATATTATTTTAGCAATAACAAATTACAATAAAACTAGACTGTTGTTTTTATTAAATTTTAAAACATAACAAGGCATTTTTGAATAGACTTTGCTTTAAAAAAAAACGTATTCAAAGTTACCCCGGGTTAACTTTTAATGACTATTTAAATTAATATTATACAAAATACTTTTATTTATATATTATTTTGAATTTGAATTATGCAAGAGTCAATCATAACCCCTATATTCACTTTATTAAGTTTCAAATATTGTCGATAGTGAAGGAAGAGCAAGTGAAAATATCTCAAAAACGTTCAAAGTACCGTTTTAAAAAAACCCCTTTTACGGTATATTTTATTTTTAGACGCAAAACGCTTACTTGAAAGTATGACTAAATATTTGACAACGATTATTAGCATAAAATCTGACATAAATGTGCAGTAATGGCTTAAGTGTGAACTAGTTCCTTCTTGAAATTAGCTTCCTAAACTTCTTTACAATAGTAGTTAGATTCTCCGCGTAATCCATGGTGCTTTTAAAACTGCTTTTTAATGAGATTTTCCGGCCATTAAAGCTGATTATATAAGTATCACTAAAAAGTATTTTCTATGCATTTTGATCAATAGGCTGGGTCCTAGACCAAAAATTTGCGAAAAGATTATATTTAATTTGGAGAATTATTTAATTTTATTAGGATTAATTTTGACTTTCACTTTGTTTAGTATAAGTGTTTATATATTTATTTTAGAGACTATTTATGTATGTAAGTGGTATACGATTGTACAAAGTATTTGAAGTATTTGAGTATTGTTATTATCTAATAAATAAAAAAAAACTCAATATAAAACAGAAAAGAAGAAATTTCTTGTATACGGAAAGATATATTTTGAAAGGGTTTTCTTTGCTTATAAAAATCGAGTAATCTGTTTTTTTTTTGTACCGTAAAATAAAGGTGTCATTTTTACGTTTTTCTCATTTTACTCTCATTTAATTATAATCTGTATAAATATTTTGCAAACAATCATTTGCATACATTAGTTATGTTATCGTAGAGTATTTTAAGTTGAAAGCGGAATCACGCACGGGTCAGAAAAAGCCAATTTTAGTTA